AATCACATATTTTATTTGACCCACAATTTTTTAACCACACGTTCTATCAACTTTTATCAAGATATATACTAAAAATCTGATTTTTATTTGAATCGAACACTCCGTAAGAACTTAAGACTCATGTTCTATCCTTAAAACTATACGAGATGTTTGGTATTTTGAATCTCAGAATCATATGAACGCAGTACTTTGTACCAAACATGCACTATATGTAAAGCAACAAGGAAATACGGTCTTCTAGTCAATGGCTAAAATCTGTCAAAGAAGCCGGCCTTCATCCTATCCTTCGTGCATCACATCGCATGTCGCAAAGATATAAGCAACAGCGTATTCTGATTCTAGTGTGTGAACTGCAGAATTGGTTCACCTGTAAGATTTGAGAATAGCCCCACAAAAACTGCAGATTATAGCCTTCCAAGATTTCCAATACAATGGGATATAACAAAATCTTGTCATGGTTTTCATGTCCGCCACCCTCGCGCCGTGGCTGCAACGCGAACACATTCCGGCCACCGGCTTGGTCTTCTTGATTACCCTCTTCTGATCCACCAAAAAGCAGAAACAAACCATCAAACAAAAACTCTTGTTACTCAACTTTTCTTCTTATTCAAGAGAATAATATGACAGCTCTCTCTCTCTCTCTCTCTCTCTCTCTATATACACACACACAGAGATAAGAGGCTAGAGATAAGGTCGGTGGGGTAGGGGGTTAGAGGGTGGCGATATGACATGGGCAGCAAGTCTAGTGGTTGGCGGGTACTTTGTGAAGAAAAAACATGCTTAGGTTTATTGATCAAGTGAGGGGATGAATGCCATTTGTCAGGTAGTTGGGATTGCATTTAATGAAGTTAGGATGTCCACTGCACAAACACACGACCAGTCGAGTCTTACTTTTAACGATGAAGTTTTTTATCTCTTTACAATTGAATGCTCTTAAATCAGGTTTCACACTTGGCAGCATAGGAAGTAACGGATTATTCTAGTTTCTGTAATTGATCGACGTCTGTACTTCTCGACTATTCTAGTCGGCTTTTTATAGAAGGAGATATTGTAGTTGTTCGTTAAATTGGATTCAACAATGATGGACTTGATAAAGAGAGTATGTTAGTAAATATTTGTTACAACATCAATTAACTCGACTGTACCATGTCACATGAATAAGCTAGAGACTATAGATATGGCAAATGAAAGCCATATATAAGCATTCGAAATAATTTCAAATTTCCTGAAATGGAATTGTACAAATTGAATTGGCGAGCACAATACCATAAAAAGTAAACAAGTTAGATGGACGACAATTTGACTCGAAATATCTTCGTTCAATCCCCTTTTATCTCGAATATCTAGTTATTTAGAAAAACAAAAATTTCTTTAAAACCAATTTAATTTAATTTTTTTATGTCCAAACTTGAACTGATTATCTAAATCAAATAGTGTAATTCCCAAATTACCTTAGAATTTATAGGAAAAAATAATTACAAACGGGGCAGGGAAAAAAGGAGAAGAAAGAAAGAAAATACTTTACCAACATGGGATTGTATAGAAATACGAGGAATTATAAATTTTAGAGGTTCACTACCGTGCAACCTAAACTGATAATTTTCATTGATTAATAACCTTTTTTTTTTTTTTTTAAGTTTTGTTGCGTCAACTGACACCCTGGTATACAGTACCCCTCACAATAAGGGGTCCACTATATTTTTATTGGACGTGGACCCCCTATTGTGAGGGGATGTAAACCACATTGTACAAATAGCAAAATCCTTTTTTTAAGACGATTGTCCATATGTATCGTACAAATCAATTCAACAATAGATTTGGAGAAACGTCATCAAAGATTATGAAGTGATATGAGAGTCTATTATTAATTAATTACTTCCCTTGAAACATTAAATTCATTTGAATTTCCACAAGAAATTTGGACATTTCACACAATCCTTAGTCCTCGCGTGGCCCCATTTAGTTGGAAAAACTTGATTGATTTGAATCACATGGCTCCCGTTATTTGAAAAATGAATTCAAAGTAAGATAAGAACTAATAATTCATCCAAATTAATGAAATTGCGAAGACAAAGAAGCACGAAAACTTTAGGGATTGTTTCGTTTGTGTTTGAGTTTTGAGTTCATTTTTAATTTTGTTTACCGAGTAAAAATAGAACAATTTTATGTTGATATATATATATATATTGGTGAATCTTACAGTATTTTTTTCTCATTACAAAAATAAATAATAAACTGTGTTCAAAATATAAGAAATAAAAATTAATGATGTTTCTAAAGATATTCTTATCTATGTTTATTTAAATATTTTAAAGATTTTTTATGTAAATAATCATTAAGAGCTTCAACTATTTTTATTTTTCTAGAATTTTTTTATAATTTTATATTTTTGCAATTTTGTTTTTTAATTGGTAGGATTTTAATTTTATTTCTTTAGAATTTTATTTTATTTTTTAAAATTTATCAATTTTGACTTTAAAAATTTTAATAAAATAAAATTTATTTAAATGTTTGTTTTACACGTTTTGAGTGTTTTCAACATTTTTACTTAAAACACTTAAAACGTCAAAAATGTGTTTCGACTTTTATGTTATAAATTTGTCATTGATTTTGAAAATGCATATTCAGAAACTCTGACCAACGTATTTTGCAAAATTGAAAACAGTTTAAAAATAGCAAATTAAACACACTTTTAGGATCGCATGTTCAAGTTGACACTCGCTTAGTAAGTTGGAAAATTAGCAGCCCGCACAGTAGTGATGGCAATGGGGCGGGTTCGGGGCGAGGCACCCTCACCCCACCACGACACTCCCCCTTCCCGGCCCGCGCCCCACCTTGCCTTAGATAGGGTAGGACGGGACGGGACGGGACGGGACGGGACGGGACGGGACGGGGCGGGGCGAGTACGGGGCGAGGACTTGCCCCGTTTCTTGCCCCATTTGTTTTTTTTAAATACAAATTCAAAATTTTAAAATTCAAAGAAAATAATGTTCAAACTAATTATATCAGGGCGGGGCCCCGCGGGGACGGGACGGGACGGGGCGGGGCAGGGAAAATTACCATCTCTAGCCGCACTTCAAAGTTTAAACTTACCCACAAACTCTTCAAACATATCCTTTTAATTTGTTCGATAATCAAGAATTTCTATGATTAGATAATCGAGGACTACAGGAAAACTTGGGCAAATATGCAAATTGCGACCTTAGTGTTCAACTTAGGACTTACAAGAAATTCTGTCTCTCTGTGTCATCTTCTGAAGATTAAAGTTTCGTGGCACCGATAGAAAATCTGATTAAAATCAAAATCAATAATTAATTTTTACACACATTTTATAGAAGCCACAACTTTTCAACCACACATTTCATCAACTTTTATTAAAATTTATTAAAAATATGATTTTAATATCTATCAAACACGAGCTTAATAAGAAAAGTGACATATAACTTGGTGCAAACGGAGAAAAATGCAAGTCCATCTCTATGGGACGGGGGCATATGTGTTTGATGTTGGTAATAATTGGTGTTAAAAAATCTGTATTCCCAACCCTCAAAATCGGAGTTAATTGTCTCAATGGTAACTGAACTTATGTCTATATATTCGATTGCTCACTGAAATTTAAGACGTCGAATTTTGGCCGCTAAACTTAACCAAACGTTGGGTATTAGTCACTATCATAACATATGTTTCAAACCTTTAACGGAATCAACGACGTGGCTAATGGAATGCGCATGTGGTGTCTCGTCATGCAATTAACAAATTGTCATGTCTTCAATTGCTCACTAAATTTTGAAAAATATCTTTTATTGCTTATTGAATTTTGAGGTGGTCGGATTTTGGCCACTAAATTTATAAAAATGACATAGGCATGTTGTTCGTTAAAATTATATACCGCAAGTGCACGGATCATGTAAAAGTAATAAAGTGGATAAACGAGTACGGGATCTCACAAACAAAATGATTACTCAATCACATAATATCTAAATTTAATTTTAACACATTTTTTGAAATTTAAGTTATTTTCATCATTTGAAAAATATAAATTTATTGTGTGTTTTGTTGCAAAATCCAAATTTTAATTAAATTTATTGTTTGTTTTGTTGCAAAATTCAAATTTTAATGTAATGTAATTTAATTTAAACAACGAAAAACACAATATATTTGAATTTTTTAAAATGATGAAAATAACTTAAAATTATACAAAAGCATGTAAAAAAATTTAACCATTGTATAATTAATAATCATTACTTGTGGGATCAACAATCTTAGCTCGTTTGCCCACTTTATTACTTTAAAGTTAGATGCATGCATAGTGCATGAACAATGCTGCTAGATGCCAGCGTAATGCAGGCGACTAAAAGATATGGGCCATTTACCATGTCACTTGCTGGCCGAGCTACGCAAGTTGGCTCTAGCTTGGGCCAACGCTCAAAAATGAGGCTTGGTCACACCGAGCCAGCTCAGACTTTTTTCAGGTTGAGTCACGAGTCATTCGAGCGGAAGAGCCTAATGACATCCTTACGACCAGTACACTTGTAGTATACATTTTTTAGCAAGCAACAGTTTGATGTCATTCTAATAAGTTTAGTCGTCAAAATTCAACCACCTCGAGTTTCAATGAGCAATCGAAAACATTTTTCAAAATTTAGTGAACAAACGAAAAATGTTTTTCAAAGTTTAGCAAGTAATCAAAGACGTGACAATTTGTTAATTGCGTGACGGGACGCTACATGTGTATTCTATTAGCCACGTGACTAATTTTGTTAAAAATTTGAAATGGATGTTATGTTAATGAGTAATGTCCAACATTTGAATAAATTTAGTGATCAAAATTTGAAATTTTAAATTTCAGTGAGCTATCGAATATACAAACGTAAGTTATGTGACCATTTGAACAATTAAATCCTCAAAATCGTAGGTTTTAAAGAATTAGAAAATATAAATTTATCATTCCTGTGCTTGTATTGGTATCTTGTACGCATTCATACCCATTGCCTATTTAATGTAAAATCTTTCCCAATTCGGTGGTGGGTCTCTCAGATTGCATTCTGTCGTTCGCTTTCTGGGTTTGATCCAAAATCTTCAATCCTGAGCAAATGGAGAACGATAATGAAGAATACACTGAAGAGTTGAATGTGGCCGTTAGGGTCGTCCACATGGCATGTTCACTATGCCAAAAGGTGCAGAAGCAATTGCTTTTCTCAAACAATTCCAATCAGATTAAGTCCAAGGATGATGATTCTCTGGTTACTGTTGCTGGTATTCTTCTCTTTTCTTGGATTGGGTGTTTGCATTTGTGCTTTTCTCCTGGGTTTTGATGATTTCTGGTACACATTTGAAGCATTGTTGCCTTTTGTTTATTTTCTTGATTCTTTCGTGCTTTTGCACTGTTAATTAAGAAGAGATTGAATTTTGTTTGTATCTTCTCTTCTTCTGGAAGTGAATTTCATGCAATATATTTTTCACCTGGAAAAGGAATAGTAAATATAAGGCTTCCAGTTATTATTACTTACAACAGGAATGGAGACCATCGATTTAGCACATTAAATTTCCTGGCTAAACGTTATAGTGTTCCTTCTATTCCAACAATTAGATTGCTGCTAGTGCCACTTTTACATATCTATTGGATTCATTATGGAGAAGATCTTTCCAGGTCTTCATAGCAGTTGTTGGCTTGAGGAAACATTACCGAACAGTAATATCAGAAGTAATAAACTGTCTGCATAACCCAATTATATAATAGTACAGCAATATAAGACGAGAAGGTGATATCATTGCTATACTCCCCCCCACCCCCTTTATAATTACAAGAAAGATGGGGAGGGCTATGAATGAATTTTGGAATGCCCACATATAATGCTATTTATATCAGGAAGATCGAGGATCAGTAAATTGAGAATATCTATATACTACTTAATCTAATTCTTACTACTAGAGAGTCAAAGTCGAGTTGGATCTTGAAAATGTTTAGAATCAAGTTTAACTTACACCAGGACAGATGCGCATAGCATGTAATGATTCAACCATGTAAGGGTGGGAGATACTTATGAAGTACTAAATAGGTGTTGTGGTGATATTTTGTTCTTAGATCAGTTGCTTAAGATGAATGGTAAATGCAGGCACATGTATTTAAGACAGTATCTTGTACTCGCACTGGGTGGTAAATTGTGGAACCTGACATTGTTTTTTCCATAGACAGACGAATTCCTATATTCTAATTCAGTCAAAACTACTTGTTCGTAAAATAAGGCCAAAAGTGAGCTTAGACTTAATAATTTTGAGGTCGGCTACATGATTTTTTTACTCCACTACTTTCTCGTTACTCCACTGTGGTTCTTTTACTAAAAAATTTTTGCCTCATACTTACAAATATGATGTCAGTTGGATATCTACGGAGAAAGTTGATTGATTTCTTAGTATGCAGATATACACAAGAATTGATATTTATTAACAATAGAAAAGAGAGTATGATTTATTCTTATCTGATAAACCTTCTAAAGACAGAGATGCAAAGTGCGCATTTTCAATTCTTTTAAATGTTGTGGTGCCAGTGTGTAAAAAACATTGTTCCAAAGTAAAACTTGGAACTATTGCACTTGCATAAATGCAGGATATGCATGATTGATTTGGTTATTTTTGAATTCTTCTGCATGAATAGACTGGAGTGTGCAAGCTACAGTAAGTTGGATGCTCTCAGAAGCTTTTGGTGGACAAAATATATCCATTGTTGCCGAAGAAGATGTTCAAACTCTTTCCAAGCCTGACTCATCAGCACAACTGGGAATGGTGGTCAGTGCAGTGAATGAGTGCTTGGCTGAGGCGTGTAAATTTGGTCTCAAGGGTCCAAATGAAGCACTTGGTGCTTCACAAGTTCTTGAATCAATTAACCGATGCAACTCAACTGGGGGCCCTGTGGGACGGCATTGGGTCCTTGACCCTGTTGATGGAACACTGGGCTTTGTGCGTGGAGATCAGTATGCCATTGCACTTGCTATGATTGATGATGGAGAAGTTGCAATTGGAGTACTTGGGTGCCCTAATTACCCAGTGAAGGATGATAGCCTGATCAAATATAGTCAACAATGTCCTGTTATGTCAGAAATATCATCACGGGAAGAAGGTTGTGTGATGTACACAAAGAAAGGCAGTGGTAAAGCTTGGATGCAACCCTTAATTCATGGCGATAAGAGGCTCGAGTGGCAAAATTCTGCAAGAACTGTGCACGTTTCTTCCATTGATGATCCTGCATTAGCAACATTCTGTGAGCCTGTGGAAAAAACCAATTCAAACCATTCCTTTTCGGCTGGTATTGCTCATACTGTAGGGCTAAGGTCCGCGATGCACTATTTCATGCTATTAGAAATTATAGTTCAATTCCTTGCATTCGGACTCAGATTACTTCCATGGGCTACAAGGCCACCAAATGGTTGACAATGAAAGAGTATAATCTTAGTCTAATTTTCTATGATTTCAATATTTTCATTCTAGTTTCATGCGAAATCTGAGTTAGATTACTATTCTCCTTCATTCTTTCATTTGTTCTCTTCTCGGTTGTGGAGAATATGAGATGCCATCTACCCTCTTTTATCCTTGCTAGCTACTCCTGCATGTTGAGTGACTTCATTATTGCATAAACTTCCTTACATGTCTTCAAGAGTGATACCTGAACCATTTTTTAACTCTTCAATGCAGAAATCAGCCGTTGCGAGTTTATAGCATGGTCAAATATGCAGCCATTGCTCGAGGGGAAGCTGAGATTTACATGAAATTTGCTAGATCTGGATACAAGGAGAAGATATGGGATCACGCAGCGGGTGTTCTCCTTGTGCAAGAAGCTGGTGGTGTGGTTACTGATGCAGGTGGGACACCATTGGATTTTTCAAGAGGAATATATCTTGAAGGTCTTGATAGGGGAATAGTTGCTTGTTCTGGGTTCAAGTTGCATGAGAAAATCATTGGAGCTGTTTACGCTAGCTGGGAATCATCAAATTTATAAGCCTTCCTATCCTTCAGGCGGACTAATGCAGTTAATGGGACACTATTTTTGTACTTGCTTCTAGGTTAGACATGTTCTACCTTTTTCCTTCCAAAATCCCACCAATAGCTACACTTTTGTCTGAACTAACTGTTTTACTTAGCCAAATTTAGGTTTCCATACAGCAATTCTTTTGGTTGGAAATATTTTGTTCTTGTTCCATAGGCCTAGTTGAATTAATCAAATTCGGTAGTCTAATAGATTCCCTGAAAAGGAATATAAGTAATATATTTCTTGATGCCAAAACATACAAGTACAGGTGGAGGTCATCCTAGATTGACAGTCAATTTGATAAAAACTCCATTGAAAGTTGATCAAGGAAAGGAAAAAACATGCATTGCAAATCATCCTTCATAGCGTTGATTTTATTGCTGCTAATAATTCGATCAATTATTTCAGGCAAGGAAGTTCTTGATGGAGTTGGCTCACTTATCCTAAGACCTAAAATAAGTGTCATTACCAAGGCTCCTTCCGCTAACAAGTAATTCCTTTATTTTCTAGTACTCGGAGGTAGTCTTCGGATTATGCATATTTAAACTTTCCACACCGCACCCATCCGTCTAAATACTTATTTCAACCTCGTGATCTAGGTAAGGATTTTATGTAATGTAATCTTCTCAAGGGATGCAATCTTTGTAAAATTCTACATAGTTTTGTCCGATATCCTTACAATTGAGACGACAATGTTCTGACCCCCTCTCTGAATTTTTACTTAAAATAAAAAAAAAATTCTTGGCATCGTTTTCTCAACACGATATATGTGCTTGTGGTTAGTAGTTGCTATCTAGTGTAGCTCAACAATGGTGCTGTCCTTAAGTATACATTGCAAGTGCCACTTTGCTCACTCTGAATTCGGAATCCAGTTGGAATCTGGCGGCCTTTTGTTCTACATTGTTAAGTTGTTCAGCTTATCAGGTAACGTCGTTAACCAACTTCTTTTCCAATATAACGACCGAAAAAAAAAGAGAGAAAAATATATTACAACTGGCCTGTCCGCAGATATTGATTTTCTTTACGCATGTTAACATAATCTAGTATATAACCCAGATTTTGACTAATTTTATATTTATTTGTAAATTATTCACAAGTCCCCAATAGAAACCTTCACTAAATGATGAGTTTTCAGTTAATCGAGAGTCAATGAATTAGTCTCTACCTATGGATTTGGCTAGGTAGTTTGTAGGATCTAAGCACATTTTTTATGACTGGTTAAATTAGCCCTTGTTTGGTTTTGCTAAAAATCATATTTTTAGTAAATTTTGATAAAAAGTTAATGAAATATGTGGATCCCATAAAATATGTGGTTAAATTAATTGTCGATTTTGACTTATATTTTTATCAATTTTTTTAGCTAAACCAAACAGAGATATTCAAGCATATGTGATCTACACAATTTAATGTAGTCATTGGACTTTGAGTGATGTTCCAGAATGTGTCTTCCCTGAAATTATGACAATAGCTGGATTTGCAGAATCCCAAGTAATTCTCATCAAGTTTCCATTGTCCTTGAACTGCCTTGATGTAAGGGAAAAGTGTGGTTTTATAGCCTAGATTTGCATTGGAATTTCCAAGTTCCCCTATGTTTGATTTACAGTCCTGCTCTGCGTACAGAAAAATGCCATGTGGTAACATCTAGTGAAATTTTGGCAGCACTGCTTCCGTACAGTAGATAAATTCTTTGATTTACATTGATGAAAATATTGATAAGAGATAGAGGTATCAAGATTTGGTAGTGCTATAAGTACACGAAAAGTTTCACATAATTCATACAGGGGACTCTTGGCGTAGGCAACACCTGTAAGAATTTTGTGAAAAACTCCCCCGTACTTAAATTTTCCACGAAAATTTGTTGGCTATGTCGCATTGAGGGATGGTCTAGCATGGCCCACCTTAAAGTCGAGTCTTGTCAACTTGGCTGGACTTTGACTCTATTACATTTCTAATATCTAATAAGAGCGGTCTTTCTACGTGCTTGAATAAATTATTGTTACTTCGTTACATGTAAGTAATTTTTGAAACTTAGAAACATGCAGGATCTAGGAATTCTCTGAACTAGGAGTAATAGAATAGATCACAAGCTTTGTTTATTGCACATATTATTCAAAAATAATTACAAATCAACTTTACATTATAATAAAGTATGGTACTATATGTGGCGTGGCATGGCATGACCTGCCCTCCTAGAGTCCATGGCACGTTACTTACTAAGTCAATTTTTAAGCATTATTTTCTACGGTTCATCAATGCAAAGACCCTTTTATGGTTGTCAATAGTCTTGCTATTAATTATCTAAATTGAATCATCAACTTGAGACATATGACAAAGAAAATCCTCAAGTCAATAAAAGCTCGTTTGACAAAATTTTAAAATGGCGAAAGCTGATTTTGAAATTAAAAAGTTACTTATAAACATATTTGAATAATTTTTTAGAAGTAATTTATGAAGTGGTTTATCGGAAGTTTATAGTTTATAAATGGAGTAATCTATAGATAACGAGAAGAACTGTGCTACTTGTATAATCGAGGTTGACAACCATTTACACATGGAATGGGTGGGTGCGTAATTTTTTATTTTTTTTTTAAACACAGTGGGACCCACCACTGTGAGAAGTTGTCAACCGAGGTTGTACAAGTGGTGTTTCTCTAACTAGAAATGATTTGTAATTTTTGTCGGTTAAATTTTTTTTTTTAAAAAAAAATTATTATGGTGAGGAAAAATTGTTAAATAGATTGATTATGCAAATGGTTGGTGGGATTCGACTCTTGGCTACTTTGCGCCATTCCCGCGTTTTACATCTCTGGCACCCACAAACGAAAAATGAGACCTACACTTCTTTTTTCCTTTTTCTTTTAAAAATTTTATCCATCCGTGTGCCTCGTGCTTACGTCCTTGTTTGGTATAATTTAAAATTCAGATTTTAATTTAAGTCAAAATTTACAATTAATTATATTTTATGGGATTGATAACTTTTCAATTATACATTTAATCATTTTTTATAAAATTATATTAAAAATCTGATTTTAATCTCGAGGCTAAATTGTCAGAAAATAATAAATTATACATTGTAGGATGCAGGCCTAACACTTCCAATAAATCAAACAAAGTCTAAACCAATTCAACTAGACAGCCGGATTGACTTTTCCATAGTTTGAGCCCCATTTTTGTTAAAAATAAAATAAAATAAAAAAATACATTTTTAAATAATGTATTGATAGAAAATGTGGTTAAAAAATAAGAAAATATTTTGAGTTTGCATATAATATTATTTTATTAAAAAATGTATGGTTAAAATGAGATTAAAACACTACTCAAAAATGTATTTTTTTTTAAAAAAAATGGGACTCATTAATAAAGATCCGTCCAAACCGTACACCCATGTTTGATTAAAATAAAAATTATATTTTTAGTATATTTTAATAAAAGTTGATGAAATTTGTTATTGAAAAATTGTGTACTTGATAAAATGTGTAATTAAAATTAATTATTAATTTTATTTAAATTTTAATCTAATTGTCTGTACACCTTAAATACTCGCAGATTACATTACACTGCAGAAAGAATCACAAAACGCCAACCAATACCTTCTTTCTGTTATCTTCTGTTCTGTACTTCACTCAATCAGCAGAAAAAGTTCAAATTTAAATCCACACAACTTCAGATTCAGGGAAGCCCTTCCTTCCTTGTTGGGATCACCGAATGCATCCCAGATTTTGATATTAACTGTTCTTTCTTTCTTTCTGGTAAGGTAAAGATCTAATTTTTTTTTTTTTTATTTTTTACTATCAAATTTCAAGAATATGGGAAAAACAGGCAGAGACTGGATGCAGATCTATGCGATCTATGGAGTAGATGATTGGCAGACGCCATTGTTTCTCCTTATTAATGCTATAGGCTTTTCGATTCTTTCAGTCATCTTCCTTCTTTACTTTGAACCCATTTGCCATCTTTTCCACCACTTTCTCCCTGGCCCAGGATTGGCTCGCTTTGCCGCGGGGTTTAGTGGATCAGTCACAGCTCTCTCCGCCGTCTGTCTCTTCTTCGCCGCCGCCAATTTCTTTTACTCAGCCGTCTCCCTCCACTGGGAAATGTCCCAGAGTATAGTTTCCTCCATCCCTGACTGGTCCTCCGTCAAGCACGCACTCGACCTCGGCTGCGGACGCGGCATCCTCCTCAACGCCGTCGCTTTACAGCTCAAGAAATCTGGTTCTTCCGGCCGGGTTGTTGGGCTCAATCCGACCCAGAATAGAAGGAATCAATTTCCCAACCCGACCACCACACTCCGAACCGCCACCCTCGAGGGCGTCCAGGAGTACGTCACGTGCCGGCCAGGTGACCCAAGAACTCTTCCCTTCAGTGACAACTACTTTGACGTGGTGGTGTCAGCCGCGTTCGTGCATACAGTAGGAAAAGAGTTCGGACCCAAATCCGCCGCTGCCGCAGCGGAGCGGATGCGCGTGTTGGCTGAGGTGGCACGTGTGTTGAAACCCGGCGGTGTCGCAGTGATTTGGGACATAGTGTACGTGCCAGAGTATGTGCAGAGACTACACGAATGGAAGATGGAGGAGATTCGGGTGTCGGAGCGCGTGACGGCGTTTATGGTCAGCAGCCACATCGTATCATTTAGGAAGCCACGTCAGCATTTTGTGGGGTCCAATGAAGTCAGATTGGATTGGAGATTCAACATTCTCTGTTGAAGAAAACAATAAAATCATATGAAAAAGTCATATGATTATAAATTATAATTTATATTGTGCTTTTATTTATTTATTTTTGGTCTTTTTGAGTTGTAGAAGAAAAACTAAACTAAAAAGGTCTGGGGATACAAAGTAGAACCAGATATCCTTTCTATGAGAGTGAAATATATATCATTGTAAATATCGATATCAATACTAAAAATTATTAATGTTTTAAAAGTCGACTTGAACGTAGATAGAAGAATGAAAAGGTCAAGAAGATCGAACTAATATTAAAAAATTAAATAAAACTTATTTTCACGGTTACTAGATTCTCGATTTTTACCCTATAATTGGATCAAATTTCGAATTGATTCTCAGTTTGGACAAGGAAGGTCATTTTCTAGTCACCATCCTAAATCTTTCTATGGAATTCAGAAATGATAATTGGTTGATAAATTTTAAATTTGTCAAATATGGATCAATTAAATTTTGTTTAAAACTTTATGAATCAAATTCTACTTAAAATTGATATTAAAATTGTTATGAAATAATCGAAACATATTTGAACAACGTACATTCAACTTAACTCAAGTCCATTGCAATTTATAAACAACCAATTAAATTGGTCGAAGCACGGAAGACAATCTTAAAGGATACTTAGAATAATAATTATTAGACAATCATTAAAGAGACACGAGATATAAGACAAAATAGAACCCAATTATATCAAAGGGGAAACACGATCAAATAATTTTACCCTCTAACATAACGAACTATACGACAAGCGACATTTGCTTGTCGTACCCACTTTGTAAGTTCAGAGTATTGCTTTAATAGAAAGTTATGGGTAGGTAAAAGGATTGCCCATCCAGAATTTTTATAAATTGCATTTGACCTTAAGATGTTAGATGGAAAAGTTGGGTGAATGTGGAATGTAAAGTTGCACTTACTTCAATATACGTGGGGGATTGACAAGGCTGGATTGAGACTGAACACCGGACCTGATATTTTGGTCCTGCTTTGCAATATTCTCCTGGTTGGTATTCAGAATTTTAGAGGAAAAACTGGCCCAGAGTCAATGGCATTTAACTTCTAGCACCAACCAATTCTCCATGTCCACTACACAATAATGTTTGTAACGACTTAGACTCAGTTAGCTTATATATATTGTCCCTTTTCAGAGAGCCTCTGTGCATCTTGTCCCTCATGAATTTCCGTCTCGACCACCAGAATTCAAATCTAAAATATTCATCTTATGAGGCACTTAAGTTTGAATATTAACACCAATTAAACAATTTATACAATTGATACCAGGATTCAAATCTCTCATAAGACAAAGGTCTAATGTTCGAATTTTGAGAAACACGATAGAAATCCGTGAAGGACAAAATGAATAAAGACTCCCTTAAAACGGACAGCACATATATAATGGATTGAGCAAAGAGTGCTCCCACTAAATTTTTTCCCAACCCCATTAAAAAAGAAATGCAAATATACATTATTCCCGACTCTTACATGTTAAATGTCTAGTTCAGAAGGTCCATAGTAACCAACTGAAAAACATTAAGAGCTTCTGCGCTTCCCACTATATCGGACATGTCATTCACAGTGAACATAGCCAAGCAGGGAAGGTAAAAATATTTCCTTTCTCATCTCATTCTCGTATACAAGGTATTTATCAGTTTCATGTTCTATTCTACAATTCCAAATTGCAACTGTACATGCCGAGAAATTACACAAGCTTTCTATCTCAACGCTTAAGGAGCTGAGTTCTGAAATTCCCGCAAATTCGAAAAATAAAATAAAAATTTTACAAAATTTCAGGGAGAGGAAAATCAGATGCATGATTCAAACAATGGACGGACTACTAAATTGACTGAATACTACAAACCCGAATTAACGTCCGGCTGGTATGCAAAATGATGAGCTGAGGGCTGGAGGCAAGACACAGATCAAATGAGGCCCAGGTGGATTGCAACTTATATTTGCCTCATCAACCTCCGGCAATCCCAGATGTGGAGGGCGAACATATCCAGCAACCAGTGGCAAGCATAAAATTGTTATCTCTACCCGGGAACCTATTAGAAACATCATGGTATATTGGTATTTTAGCCATGCTACCAATAACTAGCCATTGAAAAATAGATAGTCGCAGCATGCTCCGAATGCTGCTACCAGATAGGATTGGACTCGAACAATAAATTTGTAGTCTGATTTTCAGTAGGAATGTATATTTAATTGGCCAGTTTGATTAACCTCAAAAATTGGATGGACAGACATTTAAAAATAGCTTCCTATTCACTATTGTCTAATCCATCGTACCTCATGTATAGAAAGTAAATGAATAAATTTAAGTGCTTGTTACACCTTGCAATTTACTTTTTCTTACATATAACTTACTTTAATAAATTTAGCAAGTGATGATTCAAATACAATTTCTAATTTAACAATATCACAACCTATATCTTAACTCTAGCACTTCATCACTTCATTAAATAAATCCAAATATCATCTGTACTGAAATATATTTTACTTAAATAATAAGGTTTTAACATAACAAATTTTATAATTAATTATAAATCATTAAATATATAAAATTTGGCTTATAGTAGTATATCATTAGATTTTATCCACTTGTATTTCTTTGCTCAATTTCTACTTCATGAAAGGTGACTCCTATCTATCACCGTGTTTAAATAACTTCAATCTAAAAAACATAAAAATTTATCATTTAATAATAAGATTTTGAGTTAATAAATTGCTGAAATATATAAAACATTGAATATAAAAATTTATTTATTCTTTAGTTTATTTAAATAAGTTACAACAAAACTTGGATTGAAAATAGTATTTGCTTGGCTTGTTAAATGTTTGAAATAATATTATTCATATAATGAACATTTTTAAAAAATGTAGAATTAATATATTCAATGTGAAATTTAATAATGTTCCTACTTGAAAATACAAGTTCAATAATATTTGATCAAGAATTGATATTTGGTTACTTTATTACAACAAAATTTCAAAATTTTCTTTTCATTCATTTGCTTTTCTATGCTTTTCTAACTAGTAAAGACTTATTTTACCAAACAGAACTACTTATAAGTAAGTCATACAAGTTTAAGAAAATACTGTTGAGTGATTTAAGTTACTTATAAATAACATTTTTAATCTACGCATAAAAGGAAAGTAATACGGTGAGTGACATGCCTGGTTTTGTGGAGAGTGATACGTGCCCTCTTTTCCTTCCAGCAATCATCCAGTTTTCGGAATTTGCAATGACTTCATAAAGTACCTTTTCCTGTTACACAAGAAAGGAAAACAATACTGGTAAGTACGTTTTTAAGAAGTAATATTGCAAATTTGCAGCATCCTGAAGAAACTCGATGCGCCTTTGACCAATTTGTTTTTTGTATATTAGCAACAAAGTATCAGGCCAGATTGTCGGTGGAAGAAGACGAGGACATGAGTAGAATGCCCAAAAGCAGTGAACATATGGAATTGGAAGTAACTATAAGAGGTTAGCCATTACATGGTCGTGGGAGATTGTTTATTACAAATGAAAAACTCCTCTATGTATTGTAGAAGCCGTGGAGTCAGTTATATAAAACCTTACATAATTACTTGCTGAGCTTGCACCTTCCAAATTGCTAATAAAAATAAAGAGACATTTTAGATAAAACATTTTAAAAGGAAACAGCATCTTTGGTGGCTTACATGGTTTTGAGAAGCCATATTCCCCTCCAAGTCTTTTAACCTTTCAACCCTCCATTTCATGGTCATAAGCTGCCCAACTTGGAGACCACTTGACGTGCTTGGCTTAGAGCAATTCTATGATGGGTGACCCACTGGGAACATTTCTCGGGGAGCGTGCGAGTGAGGACAAAGCATCCTGAAAAGACCCATGTTGGTACAGTGGGGACAGTAGTCGTCGATCTAATGGTCGGGATAGCCCGTTAGGTGGGACCTGGGTCGTTACAAATGGTATCAGAGCCAGGTTGCCAGCCAGAAATCGGGAACTAAGTGCTATGGGGGACAAAGTGCTACGCCATAGGGCAGGAGCCACCTCTTGAACNCGGAAGTCTATCGTTAGAAACTCTATAGTTAAGCGTGCTTGGCTTGGAGCAATTCTATGATGGGTGACCCCCTGAGAAGATTTCTCAGAGAACGTGCAAGTGAGGACAAAGCATGCTGAAAAGACTCATGTTGGTACAGTGGGGACAGTACGTCGTCGATCTAACGGTCGGAACAACCCGTTAAGTGGGACCCGGGTCGTTACATCATGACTGTATAGGAACTTAATAAAGGTTTCAGTAAGCGGAATGAGTTTTAACAACAGTCGGAACAGAGCGCATGTGTTACATTATACAACTATTTTTCAACCAGCTCTTGTTTTTGACCTAGAACATTTGCTTCATAATTGTAGAAATAAAAGTAAAATATCTACGTAAATATGAACAATTATGTGTGATATAAGCACCACATGCTAAATGTTAATACATGAACTTCAGCAGAATTAGTCCTTTAAGCTAAATACCTCAAATTCTTTCACAGAAGATAATGATTTCCACAGGTTGACATCAGAAATTGTATTCCGCAAAGCATGCTAAGAACTAACATAAATCTCTGCAAGTCTCATAGGCCGATCAATTGAGCCATCGAAATTTCCTGGCAAAGAGTAAGTTCGTGACATGGACATTGCATTTACTTTAGGCACTGGAGACATTTGCACTGAGCTGTCAATGAATCACACTTATATTATATTAGAGCTGAAATTCTCAACATCCACAAAACAATAAACAAATAATCTAGTTCAGAAAATAGAAAGAACAAAGAAAAGGGAGAGACATGTTCACTTTACCAACATAACCCACGCAGTAGCACAAGTTGACAATTCTCGACCCCCCAAGATAAGGGCTACGTAAAAATCTGCACAATGGCCCTTAGCTTTCACTAATGTTGCAACTTACCTCCTAATACGAAATATCAAAACAAATTTTGGTCCACTTTGAAATTTA